GAACTCGGTCTAGCCAATCGGAGATATGGCAGAATAGTTTTCAAACAAATTAAATGACATTTCGTCTCTATTTCTGGTTATATACTCAATGGAACATGCCACACGGTGCGTTGAAACAACGCGCGTCCATGGAACAACTCGTGTGGTACTCAGTCCGGTGAAATTGTCGCAGTTGCGTCGACGCAACGCCGACGTAACGCCCGTGTAGCATCACCCTTATTCATATCTCCTGAATAAATCTAAATGTAATGACTGATTGAAGATTTTACTCTAGGCACAAAATAATTTACCTTTTTGATGATATTGTGACTCATTATAGTGGAACAATGTATTAATATAAATGTTAGTAACAGTAGAGCCCTTTGTGAAAGTGTTCTGCCTTCGAAGCAGTAATGCAAGCATTGCTGCGTAAGAGTGCTGGAGAAATTACAGGCACATGTGACGTGTCAACTTAAGTCTCAGAATGTCGGGCGCATTTAAAGCTCTGAGTGGTACTGCAACGGTTATGGACAGCCGTGTTACTTAAGAATCAATACTACCCCAGCTGGAATCCAAATTTTTCCTGTACTGATACGGTTTGTTTCGCTTCGGTCTAGTGGCAGAGACACTGGCATTATTTCAGAATTTATTTTCTTACAAAAGAAATTAGAGCCATATGAAAAATGTATATCGGGCATATGAAAAAGAGCCATATGAAAAATGTATACAATGCGTGAGTCGTTATCAACTTTATGTAGCCGTGGTCTCGGCTGCGTGAAGTTGATTAGGACTTGACGCATTAACTGCAAACATACAGGTAATTTATATTTAATATGTACGTAACTAATCTGAATCCATTACAAGTCTAAGAACTAAGTAGGTTATGGACAGAGGTTACCGTTTTACTGTAAAATGCAATAACATCACCCCTACTAATCTTTCCACAGATAAAGCCGTTTATAACAGTACAAATTGCACACAATGTAAAGCCCTTCGGGCGCATCGTATTTCATCTAGGGGCACAAAGGATTCTGAAGTCCGTTGTTGTGAGTTATTTTTTCACACCGTGTTGTATTTGATAATAAATAAAGCACCATGTCATTTTTTTAAATCTAACCGTTGGAGTCATTGACCTTGGTAGGTCAATGGTTGGAGTAATTGGAATTTCTTGTAAACCATCGAATGTAATTAATGACCAACTCTTCTGTCAAATTTCATTTTAATTATCACACGTAGCACGATTTTGTGGTAATGGATGTAAAAGCTTCAGAATGAAAATAATAAAAGTGACACATTGACTTTTTAGTAATGCCTGTAAAAGACTAATACATGTAAATAACAATATATACAAAATTTTTTAGGGAAATGTGTGTAAAATAATGAAATAACATGCCATACAACCAATTGCCTGGTCTTGAAGTAGGAAATTTGCTGTACTATTAAGAAAGGCCAATTTATAATTATCATAAGAAAGAAAAACAAAATTCCTACATAATGTTATCTGCTTAACTTCATATTTAAATAGGTACACATATTGAACGAACTATCTTAACGCTATTAGTTGTTGAAATTGATAATGGGCCTGAACAAGATTTAAAAAGTTAAATTAGCAACCGTCAAGAGATAGTGAAGACAAATTTGTACGAAGACCAATCCAATTACTGGAGGGAGCTTTAAAGCTTTTTCTTCGTTCAAAAATAGTCTATTTATTCTGTACTTCGTTGGATAAATTGGCCAGACGGCTTATAACATAATTTGCCTTGATAAAGCAAGTTTTAACGGTGTATTAGAAAAAATAAAAATTGTTTTACAGAAAATGTTTACAATTTCTCATTTACCACATTCCCCATATTAGGCAAGGCTGAATTGTGGCGTCCCTGCCATACGATTTACATTTTTTTTCTTAGCCTTTGAAAGAAGCATAAATAAAAATGAGTAGGAGATGTATTATTAAGTGTTTTATTGAAAGTCAGTTTCACTTCCATTATATTCAATTATTTTTTGAGAAATTACTCCACTAGCTTGTTATAATTATTAATATAAAGATCGAACACTCAGAAAAAATTCCTTCGATCCGGCCGGATTCGAACCGACGTCTTCTAGCAAACCGTGCCAGGTGTCGCTATGATAACTAAGCCACGGAACGAACTAACGAACCTCACAAATTCTTCTATATACTTGTAGTGTTTATGGGTGATTGATGGATCTTTGTATCTGGTTTTTAACGAGAGATATCCTAGGAGGATATCCCCAGTAAAAAAATATATATTTTGTAGATTTTTATGAACTGTCACAGGGATCATCCTAGATTAATATTAATATAGTCTAATTTAAAAGAAGGATTTATGTATAGAAGGTATTCTGCCTCATATAACAAACAGATTTCATAATTCTATAAGAAGCTCTGAAGCCTCTCAACATATTATATTACAAATAATGATCGAGACTCCTGAGAAGATAGGGCGTGCAAGCAAATTGGTAACCTATCACAAACTCGAATTGTTCTTCCGAATTAACGTTTGTTCGAATTTTTATTACATCGAAAACCAAATTATAATGAAACCGTTGTTCTTTCAAGATATGTTGGATATTTATCGCAAAGATATGATTAGGTTCGGTTAGATAAGGTTAAATTGACGAGGCACGGGTCCCTCACCTACCGTCTTGTTCAGGCGCTCACCGGATAACGGAGGGAGGTGACCCCGGAGTGTCACGAGTGCGGCGCTGCTACAGACTCGGCGAAGCACACGTTGGAGGTGTGCCCAACCTGGAGCCAGCAGCGCCGGAATCTCGTAGAGATGGTGGACGAGACCTCTAGTGAGAGGTCTAACTATGCTGGGAAGCGAGAGGTCACGGTAGGCGATGGTCTCGTTCTGCAAGGACGTGATGTCGCAAAAGCAGACGGCCGAACGGATCCGCGAAGACAGCGCCAATTCGGCGTCAGCGGAGAGGACGAACCCGACGGCTCTTCGCCGACCGCCTGCGTCCCATCAACGGAGGCCAGTAGGGTGCGGGGTTGGGAGACCCTGCCCCTGCATTGCATAGGCCTCCCCCACCGGTAGCTGCTCCAAATGTTCCGGGGCATCTCCGTGCAGGTCGCCTCCTATGATTAAGGGGGGGATGGTGTAGGGGTTCGCAAAAAGGTGGACCGGCACCACCGGAGTCTCGGTGGCATCTGAAAGGGACCCCGCGGCTCCGGCGCCAGGTGCGCGTAGGAACATCGTGAGGTTTTTAGTGGGTATGCTCTTGGGGACCGATATAGTCCCCTAGAGTGAGTCACACATATCCCCGCCGTCTCCCAGCGGCGGGGAATGCGTAACGCGTTATCCTCACGGTAATAAAAAAAAGGTTAGGTTAAGTTAGATTTAAAAGAAAAAACATTTTCCTCTCAATATTACTTTCGAGGTTATGAAAATTCGAGCTAACGTTATTTCTGTAAAATGTCATTTCAGACTACTGATAGGTAACCAAGCAAATTTTATCAAACAAGAGCTTTTGAAGCAATTGATTTACATTTTTCTTGAATATTCTCATTCGATCTGACAAAGTTTTCTATTGTTAGAAACTTTGAATTGTAGCTTTTACGCCCTCTCTATTCTGATGAAAAGGAATGTAATTTAATTTTACAAAGCCTAAGCACGGTTCAATTTTCTCATTTAATTCACAATACTTATTGTTGTTACTGTAACTAGTAACAAGGTAGGTTGTTGATAATGATCTGACGGCCGGTTTAATTACCTGTCCTTTACTTAATACCCGAGAGATACTACTTTGACGACTCTCGACCTAGACTCTGTTTTGCCCATTTAATATGATATCCATATTTATTGCAGGGAAGTACAATTTATTTATTCAAGTTAAGAATTCAGAAGGAAATTTGAACTAAATGGAATGACTTTCAAAACAGTAAAAAGTACTATACATACTGACTTAGTAGCAACGCATATAAAAGCACCCAGATTATAATAAAACTGACATAAAGACAACAAAAACCTACTGGTGGCGCGATTTTAGTTGCGGGTAGAACAAACCGGTCAGCCTTGCGGGGAATACAGACGATGCGTTCCTTTGATTTGTGGCTTGTATATGAATAAATATGTATGGTTGATTGGAACCAATAAGTAAGTAAGCTGTTGTACCCCACAACACCTCTTGAAACAACCCCGTGGCCGTCCTGCCGGTGAGTTGAGCGACCTCGGCTGCTTGCCTCGCCCAGGGAGTGATTCTTGATGTTATAAGTTCACTAAAACGTACGATCACTACTGTTCACTATAGTTTTCAGTTCAAATTAACGGAGGCGGTTGGGCGCGCAGCCATTGCATTCGTCATCGAAATTTCAACAGGGGCGGGCGAGAGTTTTCTTCTTCGTCCCCTAGATGTTACCAGTTGGGTGATGTTGTCTCGCTCTTGCGTGCGAGTAAGGTATACGCGGGAAAGTGATGGCACAAGGACGCAATCAATGATCCAATTAAACTATTTCCAATAGGTAAATTCAAATACTACATACTGATTTTGTGGCAATGGATGTAAAAGCACTAAGACAATAATAAAAGTGACCAATGAAAAACACATTGACTTTATAGTAATACAAGGAGAAGCACTGAGAAAAATACATATAAATAACAATACATACCGACTTTCTATGGCAATGTATGTAAAATAATGTAATAACGTGCCATACAACCTCACCAATTACCTGGTCTCAGACTAGGGCATTTTCTTTACTATTAAGAAAAGCTAATTTAGAAAAGTTCATTTCCTAATTTGGTCCTAAAGAGAATCGAAGCCAGGACCTCATTCAGAGGCACCTAGGTTATGAAAAGCCGAAACAAGTAAGAAAACGGACCAAGGACAAATATAACAACTGACAATGAATATAAACAGAGTGCGTCAAGGAATGTTTACAGTTGTTAGTGAACGTTTGAATTCCCCAATCTGACTTATACCAGCGTGCTACACTATGGACTAAACTTGCCCTATGAAATATGAATCAAATTCCAAGTTACATTATAATAACTCACCTTTGCAGGTGGTGAGCTGGACGGCTCATCAAACAGAGCCCACACTTTGGGCTTAAGCCTCTGCCAGACTCCAAGTTCTCCAGAAACATAAGCCTCTTCGTAGCCGAACAATCGGGCGATTTCTTCTTCTGACGGCTTTTCGCTATCGATGTCCAGCTTATCCAAAATTGCCAAGGTATTCTGGGGACAAGAAAAATTTATTTACTTATTAAATTAATATCATAAAGTAATTTGAGAAAACAATTGGGAGATCCACGGTTCAAATTCCTCTGGCAAATGTATGTGACCATCTATTCGGCTGCTTCATATCATCATCTTTTTATTATCCAGTATAAGGTTTCAAATTATAAAATGATTATTTACTTTACTTCTATTTGTCCGAGATATGGCAAAATTAAGATCGTATGCACATGCTGTTTAAAAGGATTAGACCTATCTACGTCTCAATTAAGCAGCAACTAACCTTCTTCACTAGCACCACTCTTTTGCTTTTATGTATCTTCTCAAAGCACGTTTCAGACAGCAATTTTCTTAAAGCTGGGTTTTAAATTCATTTCACGTCGCACTACTCTTTTACTAATCTGATCTAACGGATCGGGTGCGAGGGAATCTTGAATTGTTGATAAACCGTTTTACACCGAGCATAAAAAATACTTTTGATAGATTTAGCGGTAACTGTGTTCCGGCGTGGCCAACCCCTGGCCAGAATGTCTCGGAATACCAAAATCGCTTACAGAAGTCGTCAGAGGCTTTAAGAAGATGCTGCGATCTACTGTATCATACTGACTTTAGGGAAATATAAATATTTGCTTAATGTCCTAAAGGTGAGGTTCTGAAGGCTTCTGAAAGTGACTTTGGCATTCCGAGATGTTCCAGACCATGACCGGCCATGCCGGAAATTTTAGCAGTACATTTCTTTGTCAAAGGTTTCATGCCTATTTCTGCCGATAAGCAGGAATGTGACCATTACTGCAATCCAAGTTTGAACGCTAAGGTGAAACTACAGGCACATGGGGCTTGTCAACTTTATGTCGCAGGGTGACAAGTGCATTGGCAGTGGCTCTTTGTGATTTAAAGCTTCTTCTTTAAGTCGTCTTGCTCGTCCTACACATGACGTCCGAGAGCCTATTAAAATTTTTAAATAAATATCATTAATTACTTCACTCACATAAGGCAGAATCTTAATATTATTGAATATTATATATATTATATATAATTTGTACTAATGGCCTAGTTGCGTATCTTCCCTCAAATATTGATCTTTCATATAAAATCTTTTTTATATGTTTTTAATTTGCATGGGTTTTATATCAATCATTTCATCAACCAGTATTTTTGGTAAGTTATTTAATATGTGAGGAAGTTTACACATTCAAACTCTTTTACCGTAATCATTATTACATTTAGGTTACTCCTACATAGGAAGATGTGATAACGTGCGCAAAGAATTTGGACTTACTTTTATTTTTAGCGACTCCATATTTTCACAAAAAAAATTGTGACAGTGATATGAAATTGTTACAATTGCTAGTTTAGCTTTGTCTAAGACATTCATTACATTACTTACTGGAAAGTTAGTCATAATCATCCTCAATTTTATATCTCACCTTAAGAGGTACAATGGTTTTCAACACAAACCACATAAACACTTCTTCCGTGGTTTTCAACGATCTAATTTGAAGGTTATAAATATTTAGCAGAGTTGTTTTATATGTATGTCCATAGCTTGAATTACCGTAAAATTGATTATATAGTGTGTTAGTGTCAAATATAAATATAAAATAACATCTTCCTCAATATAGTCCGCCACGTTTGCCCAATGCGGGTTGCGAACTTTACATACACGTTTTCCAAGGGTTGTATACCATCTACGAAACATAGGATTCATCACGATATTTTTCTTCCCTGTTAGCAAGAATATTGCTACTTACAATTCCCAAATAAAGTAAGTAAGTAACTTAGGAAGTAAAGCCAAAAGTACAACGTCGCCACAGGGATTTGAACCATCAATCTCTTATTTTATACTAAAATTGTATTAGCAAAATTTTTCTTTGTAAAGTTGTTCAATAACATAAGTACGATCAACTGCTGCTGTGTTAGACTAACTTTGGACCTTATTACTAACGTTAGACTTCTCTATTGAGAAGCAGTTATAATTTTCCTCCCGAAATACACATTGAAAAACCAAAAAAATTAATTCTACAACCTCTTCGAAGGCATGATGAAGTTCCACGCGTTTTCAGTCATCAAATCAGCGTCATAAACTCAGGGTTACTCTCCTTAGAGCAAACTGTCTCTAGCTGAATATTATGGGTTGACAAATAAGCAATAAACAGGTACCTATTCACAAGATAATTCCTAAAACGTGATGCATTACCTTAACAAAGTTATCGTATATCAAATAAGTCTTGACAAATATAAATAATGAAAGCGAAAAAATTACGCAAGCATCTCGACTTCCATTAATCTTCCTTCTATTATTATTATCAATAAATGTTTCCTCATGTTCTACTGATGTAACAAATGGTATAATCTTACATTTGTTACCTTGGAAAGGAATATTTTTTTTAATGTAACATTGGCGAATGTCTGACGGACCGTTAAGTGACAATACAACGACATTAAATCGGATTTAAATTTGTCTGACATGTTGCGTCGTGACAGTATCGGTTTCATACACACAGCACAAGCCGTGACGACAGATTGCGACACACTCATTGACTTACAATTATATGGACGTCGGGTCCGCGCTAAAAAGTGTCCGCACTTGTAAGGCGCTAAAATCGTATACAGAGCGCGACACTCCGCTTTAGTCTTCATTTGTTCTACGGACAGCGCGATACTGCGATGACATAACAATTTAAATTTCGAATAGGTTGACTTGGGACATTTTTTTCGTGGTTTTTGTATTAGACCCGTCGTCCATTTATTTGTAAGTCAATGGACACACTAATCTAAATCAAAACTGTATCCATATTAAATGTACGAAACCAACACCGTTCTGACGCGTCACGACACAACAGTAAATCCGGTTTTGGCAATTTATCTAGCTCACTCTAGCCATTCTAATGCTAACTAGATTGTAGCTTTCGGATAACAGAGATGCTCCACAGAACAATAAATACCGTAGAAATGCTTAGTCTGCGTCACACGTGAGCCAACAGTTCGCGGAGTTTCGCAAACTTGAGCTTTCTAATATACATAATGTCAATATCAGAAAACCTAGAAAATCGTATCGTGCTTTTGGAATGAAACAATGATATCCGCACTTGTAATATTATCTATGGGGGTGTTTCGTATCATCATTGAGTCTTATTTCATTAAACTATAATAAATTTTCAATTTTCTGTTTATCCCAATCATTTTTCGAAACAAAAGTAAACCCTATACAGCTGCAATACGGTCGCTTTCGAGTACTTAGCAAACATCTGAAATTCGTCGTCGTTCAGTTACTAACCGCTATATGGCAACACATTGATAGAACTTTCAATAATATGCCAAAAGGATCAATTTTAAATTACATTGACAGTCCAGAATTTGTTACTTCTTTTTAATTTTACAACTTAGACTAATCATTATCACGACTTCATAGTGTTTCAAATGATGAATGAGTACGGTTTTGGCGACAGCGGTTCTGACAGCAATCGAGGCTAAAGGCACTTCCTCTGGAGAAATGCTGCTGCATATGCATATGTGTTATGCTACTATTTAGAGCCCAGAAGAAATGTGTAAGGGCCTTGTTTGGTGTGGGTCAGCGAGAGAGTTGTGTACCTTACTTTAGGAAACGCAAGGAATAAAATAGAAATACGACCCAAACAACGCCCTGACTTGGAATTTTACAGTAGAACGATGTTCGTATTAGCGCCAAATTATTTAATAAATTGCCGGACCCTGTTAAAGACATAAATTGTAGACAATTTAAAATTAAATTGCATAATTTGTTAGTTACTCTATGCTATTACAATATTAATGATTTTTTACTTGATAACATAAAATCTAAAATTTAATGTATGTTATATTGTTGACTTCTTATTCTCTGGTTAAATTCCAATTGTTGTAGTTTGTTTATGTGTAAAATATTCGCATGCCAAGTTTTGGTGAAATGTACGATCTAATATAATATATTATTATAAGACATGCATTGTTAACTACATGTTTTAGCGAATGAATATCTTGTATTCTTATTCTATTCCATTGTTGTTTTCTTTCGTGCATAAAACAGAATCGTATAAATCTATTATAGATTTTTCTGTAAACCGCTGCTTGTCACATTGTCATTAATAAATACAAATAATAGGGTATGAATATATCTCGCTTCCTCCGACCCAATCGATGGCGTCACATTCGGCTCTTACACGACTCATTCTTTGTGTAAGCATGATGAATCCATTATTTTATTATGAGCGACATGTTTAATTTTTCAATAGTAAATTAGGTGTAATTTTTAGTAATTTTATTGTAAAATAAGAAAGCAGTAAATAGTTTAAAACAGTCGTTAAAACCTAAACTTTCTACTTACTTTATATACCCTCTAGATAAGGAAACTAACCAGGCCCGAATAAGTCTCAGGAAGGAGAGATACCCACGGCATCACTCATCCCGCTGTTGGGACACCTCCCTCTTGGGCATGAGCTACTTTGGCAAACTTGGAAATCTCTAAACAGGCTGCGGGCCCAAGAGAGCGCATGTCCGTGTGGTATTCCCAGACAATGGCACATCTTTTGTCCTGCCCTGCGTGTCCCTACACCTGCACACGCGAGAACCTGTACTAAGTACTGGTCCTCACAAATATAAACGTCAGAGTCGACACGCCAAGAAAAAGACTTGCTTTACCTATATTTAAAGAATCCGAATACATTTTTTCTGTCATCCGGATACATTGGAGACCAGTTAACTGGTATGTTTGTACGGCTGGCAGAAATAAGAAACATGACGCAAAATAAATTACATCACCGACAATGACTTTGATATGTTTGCATGTGAATTACTTTGAATAGAAAAAGTTGTAGTATATTCAAATAGCACCTATATTTTATAGAACAGATGTTATTCATATGTACGTAAATGTATATGTCTGAAAATAAATATGTACCGCATATATGCAACTAAATATTTATAAACAAGAATTAAACCTTACAAATATAAGGTCAGCAATATTTATTTTTTGTTATTTTCGTATTTTAATTCTATAAAATTGAAAGAACTAACATTAACAACAATATGTGTGGTCAAATTGATGACAATAATAAGTAGTAATGTTTTGAAATGGCTACAATACTGTAGCAAAAAATAATGAACATAAATAATAAATTGCTCAGAAATTATAGAGTCGTTCACGGTTTACAAAAATAGGAGAAGGTATACCGATAGGACGCCAAGTTCTCGGATTCAAAGGATTGTAATAAGGTTTCGGAAGACGTGTGCCAGAGTCAACTGCTCTTTTCTGTCGTGGAACATAATCTCTATGGACAATTTTACTCCATTTGGATCGCGGATTTTTGTCTCCTGGTCTGCCCAAAACACGCTTTGCGCCTGCTGTGTTCACACTACGCACAGATCTTTTTAAATGGTCACCATCTTCTTCATCCTTCTTATGATCTGTATCAGATTCCTTTACGGGTCTTCTATCTTGGTCATCTGAGCTTTGATCACCGTGTACTGGTTCCTTATTCAAAGGAGTTTCGTTATGGTTCTCTTCATCACCAAGGTGAGGACGGTCAGTAAACCTACTTACATCTTCGTTGTACAGTTCTTTAGATTCCCCAATAGTTTTAACGAATTCGATATCTCGAGCCCACCTTATTACAGGTCTTCTAGTTCTTGGCGGTCGATATGTTGGTTTTATGAGTTTATAACACGATATTTCTATAATACAATATGCCAATATGGCTATAAGTACCACTACCGGTCTAGCCATGTTAATTATCAAGAGAAACGATATGTCTCGGTGTACGACTATAGTAGATAAATCGGCAACAAAACTTCACAGTGGTACTATTGATAGTAACCAAGGCTATGAACTTTAATATATGCGAAGACGCCTATTTATATCTACTGAAGAGGAAACAATCTTAGGGACTTTACTCCACTTCACATCAATAAGAGACATCTTTAAAGCCGTTGTTTTAGGTTGAAAATCGATTGGTGTTGTTTGTGTCGGGACTTTACTTAAAACAATGACTAACACAGTGTGAGTGTTGTGGAGGATAGTGTACACAAAGGAATAAAGATAACATTTCTTGACTTAGTTAATACAAATAGCTGATGTTGAACCTAAATTTGGGTTAGTCCGTTTATCTTCATGCACAGATAATAGTAGGCGGACCATTTTTTTTACGTTCCCGCACACATTGAAGTGATAGAACGGTCCAGTGGGAGAACGGTTGCTTCTTAATTGTAAAGTTTCACAGTTTAAAGGCTAAGTTACGGATATTTATATATATTTTGTAGCAATACCACTAGGAAGGGAAACAATTTGTCTAAATGTATCTTGGTTTTACCCTCTTATCCCAATCGATGTAAGGTACTCGCCCATTTTTGTCCAGGGTCCGCCACAGGCGCACAGGATAGGAATATTACGTCGTGCGGGGAAGCTCCTTTTGTACCCCTACAACTCAAGAGTCAAAGAGAAAATGGGGGTTCGCAAATTGACCGTATTTTTTGTGAACCGATTTTCATGATTCTTTTTTTGTTGGAAAGGTACTTTGATGGGGATTTATTTGAATTTGAAGAAAAAATTCCACCTCTACGGGTAGCAAACTAGGGATGAATGCTATGCGAGTGTAAACGAGTTGAAGGCTGAGGTTCAGAATACGATTTGTAATACAATTCATCACAACACGTTATTAAAAGTTACTCAAAATGAATTCGTTAAAAAATTAAATTTGTGTATCCAAGAAAATGGAGAAATGGAGCTCATTTCGGGCAACTAATTAGTTAGATTACCATTTTTTTCGTTTTATTAAAATACGTTAAGATTTCATGGTTTTTTTTTTCATTTAATTAACCAATTTTGTGAGAGAGATTTTATTCTTATAATTAACCCTATCGATCGATGCAATAAAAGTGCAGGGTGCATTTTTTCAGATTAAAGCGGGTTCGATTCCCGCGCGTTGCTAGAAATTTTCGAAAATCTATGATTGCAGTTTTATTTCTTTAAAAAGAAATAATATGTTTCTTTTAAGTAAAAATTTCTATATCCAGTATTTATAGTACTTTCCCTCCAGGTGGCATTACAAATTTCCACTCGGTATATGATGTAAGGTTATTTGTCATATTTCGATAAATATTTATATATATTTATTAAGTACACACGTTAAAGCACATTTTGTAAGAAAGAGACAGAATATATACTTTTGTTTTCGCTATCTTTTAAGTATACTATGTCTTTTATTTGTCTTGTATAAAATATGATTTTGATTTTTAACCGACTTCAAAGAAGGAGGAGGTTCTCAATTCGTCAGTATGTTCTTTTTTTTGTATGTATGTTACGCGATAACTCTGGTATTTGTGAACCGATTTTCATGATTCTTTTTTGTTGGAAAGGGGGTACTCCGATAGTGATCCCATTTCATTTTGAAGAAAATCATCCACCTCGAAGGGTGGCTGCTCACGCATGAAGATTCATTTTTATAAATAGCGCCTAACTTTAAATTAGGAGCAATTACTTTAATGGTTGATTTTGCTATTTCTCCAATTCAAGGCGTTTTTCTCTCAATATACTTTGAGTAGTGAGAACCGATTTTTATTATCTTTAGTGTCAAGTCCTGTATAGTGGCGAACTAGGGGATATTTCAATAAAACTCAGCAAATAGACGTAATTCCACGTACTTTTGAGGTCGGTTCTTTTAGTACTCTGTACTGACATTATTGTTGTAGTTGTTAGTTAATATACTTAATTAACATTGTTATTGTCGCGGACATGAATAAGTTATCAGAATGTTATTTTCATGTTCTCAACTCATCGTTTACAGCATGTTAAACATTTCCTCAAACAATGTAAACATTTACATTTGCACAATGAAGTTATTTATTACATTTCTTCCAACTCGGGTAATTTACCTTGAGTTCGTGTGCGAATTGGGTTTCATATATGATATTTGATTTCCTAAAAATTGTTTGCTGAAAAAAGAGTGTTTTCAAATGTTCCTGTGTTATCTCTATAAAAGATCTGCCAAAAACAGGTCACAACTTAGGAGCAGTAGAGCTCCTTGTTAAAGTATTCGTCCCGGGAAGTACTGCCACCTTACCTATTTCTGCCGCTAAACACTAACTTGAGCATTAACGCATTCCGGTTTTACACACCATACACAAATATACGTATTCCACATGCGTTTTTATTGATTGTGTTTACGGTCAATGCAATTATTAAATAACAAACGCGTAGAACATGCGACTTAGTTTTATGCGTTTGTATTTTTACACTAGTTTTCTTAATTGCCTATGTAGTTATAATTTTTTTATGACACCAGGTGACGGGACGAACAATTCGTCGCGCTAGAATATATAGATAATGTGTCCATAACAGTTGCTTTGTCGCTTAGTGCTTTAAACCGCAAAGATCTGAGGGGCACTGCCATGTCACCTGCATCCTTACTTACTTCAAAACTGGAACGCAGCAATGCTCGCTTTATTGCTTGGCGACAAGAATAGGTAAGATAGCAGTGCTTCCTTGGACTAACCCTATCACAAGGAGTTCTATTGCAATTTATATTGTCAGTATAAGATCAAATTTCAGCAACCATAAATATCTTTACGTGCGCTATAATGAAACAAAGATAATAGAAATAAAATAATAAAACAATTAAACAGATATGTATGCCTCTGACGCAGCCCTACAAGTTCATGAAGTTCATTGCCCCCTCTGATATTCTGACATAGCCAGACTCCCACCCCCGTCCTGTACAGAGTTATTACCGTTTAGAGCGATCTATTTACATATATTTATTTTTGTGTGAAATTAAAATCTGATGATTTATTGATCCCGTGGAACGTGAGTTGTCGTTTATGATGTTAGTAAAGTTCCATGCAGTTGTTAGTATCCTACAAATAATCCCATATAATAGACAAATACACGTTTATTTTGAAAAATATAGCGCGGGTGGATGAAGATTCCACCGCCGAAATGTAAACACCGAATTTCCAGCCAGTCCGTGACCACGGCCAGTGCAACCTGGCCGAAACGTCGGGAAACTAGGTAGATGTAAAAAAATACCTGTTAGTCATTGACTTACAAATAAATGGACGACGGGTCTAATACAAAAACCACGAAAAAAATGTCCCAAGTCAACCTATTTAAACGTAGTGACATGTAAAGGAATATGAAAAAGCTAAAACGTTGAATTTAAATTGTAATATCATCGCAGTACTGTCTAATTTTGCTTGCTTCGCTGTCAGAAGAAACAAACGAAGACCAAAGCGTGAATGACGCTCTGTATACGATTTTAACGCCCTATAAGTTCGGACACTTTTTAGCGCGGACCCGACGTCCATATAATTGCAAGTTAATGCTGTTAGTGATGGAAATTTATTCCCGTTTACAAATATTAACACTGTGACGATGCGACCTCTTTCATCCTTTCCTGGCCACTGACTTTTGAAATTTTGAATCGTTCTCTAATTCCTTTCTTCGTCATTCTTACTTTGCTTCATCGAATATGTAACCAGAAATAGAGACGACATAAGGGTCATACATTCCTGGTAGCTCATCAGTGACACATCACTTAAAAATATCAACTCTCGTTTGCACTGAAATTACAAATTAGAAAGCTGAAATAGTACATCGCCAACAACTGACTTGTGTGAACGTCTCCGTATATTCAAAAAAATATTCCGTATTTATTGTAATATACAATGCCATGCTGTTCCATTCGGTGGTGTGGGGAAAAGCAACAAAATATCTAATTACAAAATAAACGGAATCAAATTTCATCGGTAATTAAATATTAAATATGTTATTCTGCAATTTTCGTCCATATAGCAAAGCTCAAATTAACTGGTCGATTTGAATTGAAACAATTGACGACACCCATCAATTGTTTCGAATTCGGGCTGGCCAATCAGAGAGCAGTTGTTACAGTAATGACAAGGCAGAATAGTTTCGAACATATTAAATAACATTTCGTCTCTATTTCTGGTTATATACTCGATGCTTTGCTTCATTTCATCGTCGCTCCATATAAAATTATCATCATCATGTAACCCAAACTGCTTATACAGCAGCAATATATTTCTTACGAATACAGGCCCTTTTGGGGTAAGTTCACTATTCATTATAATAATAAACTAATAAGTTCTAATCTCTAAGGACTGCTTATAATTATTGTAGGAACCTGTTTTTATACCTACCTGCATTTGTTACACCTTATCCTTCTTTTCTTCTCTACCTCATCTTTCCCTATTGCTATACCTTTTGTTATTATTACGCGAAACCCGTGTGACAACACAAATCATAATACAAAGCGAAAGTTTAAAAGTGCAGACACACACTTGGCATCGCATCTGACCAGTGTTGGTACGTATTTATCCAAACAATATTTACATTTTGTGTGCACCACGGTAAGTAATCCGTTTGGAAATTTCCAGAATATCAATTTGTAATCAATCTTGACTGAATCCCGAAATCGTGTTTGGGACATTAGCAAGTCTAATAGCAATGAAATACTTTCCTTCCAGTTTTTCCTTGTACAACCATCTGTTGCTTTATATGTCTGCGTATGGCATATGTTATAGGAAAGTCAAGAGTATGATAGACGAGGACGCATCGGGCTGCCGTTCATTACTTTAAGATCGTGACTCTGACAAGCAAGGAAAGAAGGAAAGACTTTTATTTGATTACGACAATATTAATAATAAATCATGAAAAGAAAATAAAAGAACAAGAAATTACAGTAAGAAAAAGAGTAAAACAAAATCACAAGAAAACAAAAACAAAAATAAAAACGTAAATTACAAAAAACAAAGGCCCAAAATATAAAGGTACTGTGCATGATCCCGGCGGCTGTAGTAACAA